ATAACTTAAAAGAACATTAACATAATGAAAATCTATATTCGTTCACCCTTTATTTGAATATTCATATATGTAAATCTAAGAATGATATCCTATATTCATTGTAGTATAGGTATAATAGAAACACATTTTCCCATGAATTTGTACATTAAATCTTGTGTAGCAGGCAGTGAATTGCAGGCAGCATCACTGTGCTATGAAATTTTTTACGTCACTCGTATACTGCAGACATTAGCGTTAACGGACATGTGATAAGTATGATGGCTGAGCTAGAACTGTACATCTTTTATTATAATTAGATTTATCAACGGATTGAAGTAGATAAGCAATTATACTTTAAATACACGTTTAAAATTTGAATTCTTGTTTCCAGAATATCTCATAATTTATTTACATAAGAATTCATGTAAATTTTTTCATTTATATATTATGTAAAAAGTGTTGAAGGAATAAAACAGTGCCATCATACGTAAAGCTTGTCTGCTCTTAAGGAGGACTTTGTGGTATCATAAAAGGAAAACAATGTATGTAGAAACATACAAAGTACAATAGGCACCACTTTAAACAATGAAAAATTGCGAACAGTAGCCGCCTCCAATGTCATTTTCGTTTGCGAACCCCACGATCTGCAGGTTCTTGTGATGAAAAACGATGGACACAAGGAGGAGGGTGATGTACTTGTGGATTTAAAGGAGGATATGGTGAACCTGTTTGATCCCACCAAAGTGATGAATAATCCCATACTGGAACCATAACTGGAGAAATAGGAGGCATTGGTAGGGGATGTATGAATGATGTAGGATGATTACGTTGTGTCATCGTTAATCCAGCTTGTGGATTGCTTACATAAGAACTGTTTTGAGTATTACTGTATGGTAAATTAGAAGAATGAGGACTGTCTGTATTACAGTGAACTGCAATGGAATTTTGAAATAATTGGGGCCCTTGATTAGGACCCCAAGCCAGCTGCTAGCATCTTCGACTATGCCAGTGTGTCATGTATTCCTGATAGCTTACAGTAACTTTTTCACTTTGATATCGTGTTAACTTCACACTGCGCCTAATATCTGGAGTGACTAATCCTTTGTAACCACCTTTATGCAACAATGAATCGATCGTCTGTATTTGGTCCCATCCTAAATATAATTTATATAGTTTTTAATGTTATCAATGTTATGTATTAAATCTTTGATCTATAATTATTCATAATTGACCTAAATTATGCTAATTTAAGAAATATAAAACGTGCAAACCTTGTTCAGTTGCAACGTCGGGTAAATAAGTAGCAGTCCGCTTATTACCCTTCTCATTATGAAACTCTATACGAATTCCATGGACACCTACTTCCCAATCTAAATAATCAACACCATCCTCAAAGTGTCTCAAAATTGAGACACTTACGTGTAAGCGTGGAAGTTCTTCTCGTGTTATAGGATTAAAACGTGAATCTTTGAATGCACTTTGAAAAGTATCTAATGTCTTTAAAAATATATGATAATTACATTGTTTCAAATAAACATAAACTAATCTTACCTGGTTGTAGCATACTCCCGAAGGCCAACATGTAATTGCATTGCATTGAATGTACCAATACAGCCTCTCAACCTCATATCTTTTCCTATTGTCCATGTAACAAACAATGGGCTAAAATATATAAATACAAAACATTATAAATTACATTATATTACATGTAGCTCACAAAATTTTTTAAATGATACATTTAATTCTAGTATGTTGATGTTAATGTTTAATATTACAGCAATACAAATAAATTTAATGCCATAACAAACTTTCTATATAGAGTTCTTTAAATTATTTCTTTTCATTTTTCTCTAATAAGAAACATTAAAATACTGTTTGACCAGGAACAAGCGTTTTCATTTCTCATAACATAATTAATTATAAATGACATAGTAGGTCATAGATATTTGTGATAACTTCAAATACAACAATTATTTGACGTGATAACAAGCAATTGTAAAAGATAACAGACTCGATTTCATAAAACAAAAATATTAAACATTGTGACAAAGAAATTTAACGGGGGGGTGAGTATAAAACATTCGGATTGAGAGCAGCTGAAGGCGCAGACATACAAGCGGAATTGAAAAAGAGGGAGAGCGAATGAGGAGAAGAAAAAGAGGGAGAGACGATGACAAAGAAAAAGGTGAAAATAGAAAAAGACAGCGATATCAATGAGAAAGAAAGTGAGGGGGACAATTCACGCGAAAGGGAGGAAAAGAAATGCCAAAAGCATATGACGATGGTTGGCAAATAATACTCACAAAGCTTCGTTGCTAAAGCTGGGCGGTTTTGGAGGGTCAAGTTGATGCAGTTGGCAATACAAAACATCAAAGCAAAAGAAGCCCATTTCTGGTTTTACGATCAGCCCATTTCTCAGTTGTGTTCCATTCTGTAATACCGAACCATTGCATGGCACACTCGATGAGTTGTTCAGTTTTTGCTTTTTCGTCCCACAACAACCTGCAGCCATGTTTCCTTCGTCGACTCTCACGACGGACGCGACTACTGTGAACACGATTGGTCCTCAACCCGCTCGTCTCTCATTCTTCCCTGTCGTCGCGAGCTTAATTACGCGCGCGTTCCGTTAGATGTCCTCGTGCTCGCCGAAACAGCTGTTTCATTGTACGCCATTTGTGAGGACAAACGCGGCGACAAACAACCGAACTTGAAAATTGGCGGCAGCATACGCGGGCCCTACTTCTGTCACAACAAATTGTTCAATTTGATTACATAAAAGAACACACCTATATCCAACGTTTCGCTCAACATTTCACACGCTCCTAATTGCTATTTGATCATGAAAAGCGTAAGACAAGTCTTACTATATAATTGATTTGCGAACTTTTTAAACAATAACGATTACCACTGGAATACTGGTACGATTCAAGCTCGTATAGTGTTTGATATAATACGTACGTGTGTTGAATAGGTTAAATGGGTATACCTACCTCCGCGCGTAAAAATAACTTACCCGATACATTCACGGTTATCATAAATAGAGCTCTCTAAAGTTTCGTTCCGAGATGCAAAAGAAATCGGATATGTTGAACAAGCGGTGCCAGATACAATTTGCCGGTGAAAAAACTATGCCGAGGGCACCGACTTTTCTAACCCCTTACCTGGCACCTGCTCATGATGCACCGGAGGAGCCCGAGGCGTGACAGCAGATTCAACCTGGCAACGTGCACTTGCTTGTAGCTGTCCGGTACATTGCCAAGTGGCTATATTTTTTCTGACAGCTGACATCGTGTACCCGCGGTTTATGGCATAACGGTTGTACGCTTTCTGCCAAGCGTCCAGTGAAATAACAAAGTGTCTATTTTTCGTCGGTAGTACGGGTTCCTGGGAAACGAGACGAGCCGGACACTTGTAACCTAATCGTTACTGTGACGGTACCGCGTGACGACAGATAGTGCTCTCGCCGTACGATCCGTGCGAACCATGTGAACATAAACATTGACCGCTCCAGACCGCTTTCCTGCAGTGAAAATAAGTGACAGCTAACGGCGAACCGTCGAACCGTGATCGTTACAAAATCGATCAACACGTCGCCGAATCGATCGATTACGATAGCCCTCGAAAACCGGCGTATTTCGATTTTCGAGTGTAGTAAACTTGACGATTTTTCGAAGTGCCTGCGGAGCAAGAGACAGACCGCGAAGAATCGCAGACCGTTCACGGTGAAAAAAAACAGGTAAGGATGTTACTTCTATATTTATGCCACGTTCATACGCGCGCGCGTGTGAGTTACGTACGTGTATCGCGTTATTCGAATCTCGTTCGCGATGGTCATTTCCAATCTCGTCTCACATGCTCGCGCGCGTTCGCGTGTGCAACGCGTTCGTATTTGTTGCGTGCGATTTATACGCGAGAACACGTTATATAAAATGTGTCATAATACTCTTCGGACGCTCAGGTGTGTGAGTCAGGTTTACGCAATCTTACGTAGCGATCCAGTCAGATCATTTCGAATAGATACGGGGATATCTCGCAAGGATGTTCAATGAATGGAAAATTCGAAAGCGCGGACACCATTAGGCAATTCATGGAAATCCTGCGTGTAAAAATTGTAATTCGACGGATCCAAGTGCAATCCGATTTTGACGAATTCCAGCAAGACCTTCTTCGGTGCTTGTAATTTTAGATCGATAATCTAGCGATAGCTTGGATTTAAATGATAAATAATATAAGCTAATATATATAGCTTTATATATTATAAAGCTTATATAGCTTATATAGCTAATATATATAGCTTTATATTATAAAGCTTATATATCTTATATAGCTAATATACATATATAGCTTTATATTATAAAGCTTATATAGCTTATATAGCTAATATATATCTGTCTCTTATACACATCTTATATAAGCTATATAAGCTTTATAATATATCTGTCTCTTATACACATCTTATATAAGCTATATAAGCTTTATAATATATCTGTCTCTTATACACATCTTATATAAGCTATATAAGCTTTATAATATATCTGTCTCTTATACACATCTTATATAAGCTATATAAGCTTTATAATATATCTGTCTCTTATACACATCTTATATAAGCTATATAAGCTTTATAATATATCTGTCTCTTATACACATCTTATATAAGCTATATAAGCTTTATAATATATCTGTCTCTTATACACATCTTATATAAGCTATATAAGCTTTATAATATATCTGTCTCTTATACACATCTTATATAAGCTATATAAGCTTTATAATATATCTGTCTCTTATACACATCTTATATAAGCTATATAAGCTTTATAATATATCTGTCTCTTATACACATCTTATATAAGCTATATAAGCTTTATAATATATCTGTCTCTTATACACATCTTATATAAGCTATATAAGCTTTATAATATATCTGTCTCTTATACACATCTTATATAAGCTATATAAGCTTTATAATATATCTGTCTCTTATACACATCTTATATAAGCTATATAAGCTTTATAATATATCTGTCTCTTATACACATCTTATATAAGCTATATAAGCTTTATAATATATCTGTCTCTTATACACATCTTATATAAGCTATATAAGCTTTATAATATATCTGTCTCTTATACACATCTTATATAAGCTATATAAGCTTTATAATATATCTGTCTCTTATACACATCTAGATGTGTATAAGAGACAGAATATACATATATAGCTTTATATTATAAAGCTTATATAGCTTATATAGCTAATATATATATAGCATAAATGAGCTAATGTTTACCTATCTTGTGCCACTGGTACGATCTGTTTGTATCGTTTTACAATCTTTCGAAGTTCTTATGAGTAATAATTAAAACGATTCAAACGCGATGATTACTTCAACTAAAATGATTTAGCTAAGACGAAGGCAAAATTAGAGCTAATTGTTTCTTTTATAGGTGTTCGCACGTGACCAGTTTCGTGGGTGTCTATGTTAATATGGCGGACGTTTTAAGATTACCAAATGTAAGTTTTTAAAGATATTTGATGTTAAATATTTATTGTTTAAGTAAGGATATTAATTTACTTATGTACTAGTGACACAATACTTACAGGAAATATAATATTTTCCAGCTTGTGGAATGACCTAATGCTGCACAGAGAATGATGTGTTATTGTTAAACTTTGTGGAAAGGAATGTATGAATAACAATTTACGAAGTCGTTTAAGACATTCGTTGCCATTTAGAGACCGATTACTAATTCTCTATACGACCTATTTCGCTCGCAGACATACAAAATGCATTTGCTGGTTGAACGCGGTTACTGTTAGTGTTGATAATGCACTCGTACGCACCCCATAGACGCGGTTCCACCATTTGGACTGCCGAACAAACTACCGAGTTGCAAGGACACCGAACAACTAATTGATACCGGAATTTCGTTGATAAGAAATTATCCCACATCGAAATATTATTTTTGCAACAACTAAAATTACATATAAATTTCAGGTTCTTCTTAAATTGGTCAAAACAGTGTAATTCTCATGTTTATCAATGTCGAGAAGTCTAACGATTAAAATAGATAAACTCTGATATGAAATTACCTTTGCCGGAAGGGAACTTCAGAACGCCATGTAACAACGCAGGAATGTGTACCAGCTTCCATCTAATAGTATACCTGTGCGGGGAGGATAAAAAATATCGCAAATCCTTGTAATAAAGTTCGCCTAAATTATAAGTTAGATGCACGTTATTGCAAGAAATCGAAGGTTACGCCCGATGCATTTAGCGCGCAATGAGTCCTCTTACGTAGGAAAATTGCATTCCGGCACGCAACAGAGGCATCGAAAGAACCGGCGAAGGTGTACGCTCGTTACCTGTGTGCGGCTCTTGTCACAGAACTTGAACAATACCCTTCGCGTGTCATTCTTTTCAATGATTGCAACAAGGCTGGCTCTGTTCCTCCCGTGCACAGTATCCTTTTCAATTTCGCCTCATTTCTTTTCTTCCCGGAGCCGACGCGTCTCGCAATAGGCTTCTCCCACGAAAGCAGTCCTCTTTTTTCTCTCCCTCTCTTTTTTCATTATGCAACCATGTCAAAAACGTTTTTGCTTATGACTCGGTGGTGCACGTGCTACGTGCCACGGTTGCTTCTAATAAAGGAGCGTGCGGTTTCGCCGTGAATCTGCGGAGATCCACCTTGACCTTCTTCGCGTGACCAAGGACGTATCATAAAATCGAGTGAAACGTGATATGTCAGTTCTCTTCGAGACCTGAGGCGCAAAGGAGACCATTACCGAGCTATTCTAAACAGATCCGTGGTTGACTTTTGATCGACGCAATGGTTTCATAGTCGATTAGTAATTGACTCCGGTTCTTGATCCAATGGTATGCAACACACTGGAATTTGAATTGATTCGAGAAAGTAGTTCGACAATCGCTGCAGAGGTGTTCGGTTTTGTAGATTTTTGTGCGTTTATAGAATTGATGAAGATTTTAAACAGTAGAAGACAATTAAAATGACAAGCAACTTTATTTTATTCTTGGGATAAGGAACACTTCTGTGTAAAGTTTTTCTTTATTTTTGGTCTTATAAAAGTCTAATAATGCATATACTTTATACACAATTTTCAAATACTGTCACCTATGTAGGTAGATACAAAAGTACAAGTATAATGTTTCAAACAAACTCAGAAATTGACAATTTCAAAACGTTTATACGTAATTACACTCTCTAAAAGATCTTAACTTCTTTTCATTGATTCTCTCTCTCTCTCTCTCGCTCTCTCTCTCTCTCTCTCTCTCTCTCGTTTCAATCTTGCATCTTTAGTTATTTAGAAACATAAATGGATAAAAGATCAATTCTATTCAATTCTATTCTATCAATTTTATCAATTCAGATTCTATTCAATTTGTCCATCGGTATATCTTTCTATAACTGCACATGAACATTTAAATACAATTCTAAATAGAATGGGACATCTATAACGCTGTACATTCTGCAAAAATATATAATATATATTAAATATTATATATTATATATAAATATTATTATATAGTATTATATTATTATTATATATTATTATATAAATATTATAGTATATTGAAAATTAAACAACT